GCCGTGGCCCAGCCCCCGGCAGTGGGGTCACAGCCCCTTCGACGTGTACACGTGTGACCGTCGCGGCGGAGGGAAATGTGCGTTTGCCCGCCGGCGAATGTGTGCTGTGCCCGCAGGAGTCAGGACAGGAGTTCCCGGAGCCTGGATCAGGACTCGCCTTCCAAGAAGAAGAAGTTTCAGGCCAGCTACGCGTCCACCACCCACTTGATGGCGGGCAAGAAAGTGCCGTCCTCCCTGCAGACGAAGCCCGGAGACCAGGAGACCACAGTGTTCTACATCCCAGGGGTGGACGTCAAGGTAGCGGCCTGCGCCCGCTGGCTGCGGTGCGGGGGCTGGCGGGGCTTTCTCGATGCCGCCTCTCCGGGAGGTTCTGGAAGGGAGACCTTAATTTGCTTTTTGAAAGCGTGTGGGTGTCCACGGCGCGCCTGCTGGGCCCTGCCACGCGCTTCGCTGACACCTGTCCTCTTGGGTTCTGGCCTGGCGGGCTGCGGCCCCGGGCCTGGGTGTGTGTGGGGTCCGCGGGGGCCGGGCTCCTTCCTGCCTCTGTCCTCTCCCCTTCTCAGCTCCCCTCCCCTGCGTGATTTTACCTTTGAAAGTGTGTTTGTCTCGCTGCAGTTGCATTATAACTCCAAGACGCTGAAGCCTGAGTCCCCCAACGCCTCCAGAGGGTCTTCCCTGCCGCGAACGCTCTCCAAAGAGTCCAAGCTGTATGGCTTGAGAGATGTGGCCACGCCTCCGCCTCCCGGCTCGGCCCAGGGCAAGACTCACACCTTGCTTCCTCCCCCACCCCCACCTGCCCCTGCAGGTACTGAAGCAAAACGTACTTTGTGTTTTCATGACCTCATTTTTCAGTCCTACCTACTTGCCGCACTGTGACTTGTACGTTCACCTCGAAGAAGGGACGGCCTTGTCCGTGGCCCCGGGTGGGGCCGGGGCTGGTGACAGCGGTGCAGGCCGTCACCTGAGACCTGCTGATGCCCGGGCAGCCGTGGCCAGGGTGTTGCTCGGAGGCCCTGCTGGGCCCAGTGAGCCCACAGGCTGGGGCTGCAGGCTCGGCTCCCTCAGGAGGCCAAGTCGCGCCCAGGCCCCCGCCCTGGGCATGTGGCCGCGTCCAGGCGGCCAGTCCACGGCGCAGGAGAGGGCACGGCAGCCGTGGGCCGCGGGCCGCGGGCCGGAGGGCAAATGTCTCGGGCAGCCGGGCCCACTCTGCCCGGCGCAGGGCGGCCGCCGTCCGCCCCGATAGGGCTCCGAGGGGCGGGTCTTCTTTGCAGGGCTTACAGAAGCGCAAATCCCAGACAGGAGAGCAGCAGCGTGGACGCTCGCCTCGCCTCTGACCCGGGCCCGGCCAGGGGCCGTCCTCGGCTAAGGTCCTCTGTCCCTCGTCTGGTGGGCAGAGAATGTGGAATGCGCACGAGAGACTGGGCAGAGGACTGAGTCGGAAAGTCGCCCAAAGCGTGAACTAGAGCCAGCAGGCGTGGCCCTGCCCTCGGCCAGCGCTCCGGCCGGCGGCTGTGCTGGCCTGGCCGCCTTTTGGGCCCGGCGTGTCTTGGGGCAGTGCGCGGGCCTCCCGGTCACACGGGGGCTGGCTCCTCTGCAGCTCGTGTGTCACCTGGGAGCGTGGTGCTGAGCGACCTCCGTTTGTAAATGTTCCAGCCAAAGGAAAAGGGGGCGCGGGGGTGAAAACCGCCAAGCTGTACGCCTGGGTGGCCCTGCAGTCCCTGCCCGAGGAGATGGTCATCGGCCCCTGCCTGCTGGACTTCCTGGAGAAGGCGCTGGAGACCATCCCCATCACGCCCATCGAGAGGAACTTCACGAGTGAGTGCCCGCTCGGCCCGCCCGTCTCCCTGGCGTCTCCATGCCAGCCGCTCTTGAGCGTGTCCGGCTGCGGGGCTGGGGGACTGGGCAGGTGGTCAGTGGTCAGGGCTCGTGGCCGCAGCCAGCTGGGGGCGCGCCGCCTCTGGCAGCGCGGGGGCCGGATGGAAAAGGACGACTCAGCCCCGGTTCAGAGCAGGAGATGCCTAGAGGACGCCCCAGGAGGGTCAGCCGGCGCCCAGGGCAGCCTTGCGGCCAGCTGGCCCGGCCGGGCTTGGGCAACGGGGCGCGAGTCAAGGAGCGCCGGTGCGGACGCTGCTCCATGGCCCCCCGGCCACCTCTGCACACGCCGCGGTCAGCACGCAGAGCCTCGCGGCAGCGCCGCGCCGAGAGCTCCTCCCGCACGACTGCCCGGCTCAGCTCCGAGTGGGGCAGTCAGGGCAGAGCGGTGGAGCGCGGCCATGCAGGCGTCCCCGGTCATCCCGCGAGGACCGGGGGCAGCAGCGGGGCCACGCGGCTCAGCACGCCCACCCTCCCGCAGCCGTCAGCTCACAGGACGAAGACCTGGGGCACTTCGAGCTGCCGGACCCCCTGGAGGAGTCCGCGACGTCGCTGGTGTCCTCCTCCACGTCTGCGTACGCCTCCTTCCCCGTGGACGTCGTGGTGTACGTGCGCGTCCAGGTGACACACCGCGGGCCCCCCCGCGCCGGCCCCGGGCCTGGCTCTGCCTCCCCTCTGCCCGGGCGGTGGGCGGTTTCTGGGCGTCACCGTCGAGGCCCGTTGAGCTGAGTCAGGGCTCCCGGTCGAGTCGGAGACGAGAGCGGCGTCGGCCCGCGGGCTGCTGTGCGCCGGCCGGGCCCTGAGTTCGCTCGGCCGCTGGCGCAGCCGCCGCGTGCTGTGCTGCCGTGGGGGGCCCCGGCCGTAGGGTGCTGGGCTGTGAGCAGGTGGCTGCGGGCACAAGCGTCTCCCACGTCCTGGGCGATCTAGATCTCTGCACGTTTAGCGCGCACAAGAGTTCTCGGGTGTTTAGGTTCCTCTAAGTGACGCGTCGCTTGCACCTCACGTGTCTGCGGGCGCCTCGGGCGTCCGGCCCAAAGCCCCGGTGCACCCTGCATGCACCGATGCACGGTGGGTGTCGGGGGCACAAGCGAGGAGCCAGCGGCCCGAGCCCCGCGCCCGCCCCAGCCCTCCCAGATCAAGTTCAGCTGCCTGCCGGTGTCGCGCGTGGAGTGCATGCTGAAGCTGCCCTCGCTGGACCTGGTCTTCTCCTCCAACCGCGGGGAGCTGGAGACCCTCGGGGCGGCCCACCCCGCAGAGGCGGCGTCGCCCGCGGCCCCGA